TTCAGCCATCTGTGGGTGAAGAGAACCTTAAAAGAGCTCTTGCAAGTATTATAGGGTGACTTTGGGCTATTGCTTTGACACCCCTTGCTTTTTTTAAGAAATCATTCCCCAGCCCTGAAAAAATGCATGTCACACAAACATATACTCACAACAAATTATCAAAAGCTCATTTGTGAGGTCTGGTGTCAGTTTTAGGGCATTTGTGTATGTTCTTTGTAACTTTTTTTAATAGCCAGGGTCTTCCAAGTTTCCTGTTAATACATAACAGGTTTTTATGTTTGTTCATTGAAAATTACTTTGAATCTGGCATTTGTGTTTGGTATTTATTTTCATCTTCTGCCTGTATCATCCCATGGCCTCCGTTCTGAAATGCAAGCTAAGTCTAGCTTGTTTTTGGTGTATTAGTAGGTGTTTCCTGTCGTTTAATCATTGTTTGTTGGGTGGGTGAGAAGTGTTTTTTTTTTAACCTGATTGTCTCCCAAGTATCTTACAACATAAACTCATCTGGAGTAGTTGCGTGACTTGCCTTTAAGTATAGGTACTGGGGGCTTTATACATGTGGCATTATCCCAAACATATTAGGCTTACAGTTTCTCTTCTGCATAGTTATTTTGTGAATGTAAGTTTATACCTAGTTCTTAGTTTTGTGAAGAGTTCCCAGGAACAGTTTTTATAAAGAGCATGTTTTCATTAAATGCTAACTGACTGCATTTCTTAGTTTTCCAATTTAGTAAGCCACATTTAATGTCCACTCAAGTGAAATAAAACCTCCAGCCTGAAACATTTTTATATGGCTTAAAAATTATGTCAGCTTTTTTGCTGTTCCTTTTAGAGTAAGCAGATATACTGTCCAAATGATTGGATTGTTAAATTATCTTTTTAAGATTTTGCTAATTGAAGTAAGATTAGTGATTAAGCCTGGAAGAGGGAAACCTCCCTGAACCCTGCGGTACTTTCCCCGACTCCAATAATGAGACTACATGAGTGTGTAAATGTTTTTTAAAACATTGTGACCCTTCATAATGCTTATTTCAGTTTGCAGTTACATATTTACTCATATTTTACTTACTGGTATGATCAATTTATTAATGTCTGTATCCTCTTGTAGACCAAATATAACCTTTCCTGTTTGTTTTGGCCAACCATTATATTCCCATTCTTGTTGAGCTCTTGTAAATACCAGGACATGCAGCACTTAACAGCCACTGTTGTATTAACTTCAGTGAATATGTACTTAATCTTCATGATAACCCTATAAGGTAGGTTCTGTTATTTTATTACAGGTGAGGAAACTGGTTTATGGCCCAGGTTAAGTAACATGCCCAAAGTCAGAACTACTAGTGCAGTAAAGATTTCGAATTTGGGCACCTTGACTTTGTGTTCTGTGCCCTTAACTACCATTGTGTGCTGATTATGTCTGTCAGTTGAATTTACAGGTTCTATAAAACACTGGCTGATAGTTTTGAAAACTAGCAGCAGAGTGGTCACCAGGAACAAATTAACCTCATGTTTTGTAAGAAAATTTATAAAATAAAATATGTAGCCTTTTTGCCTGAATGGTTTAGTCATAATAATAGCTGAATTAAAAACTTGTCATTTGTGATTCAACATCTCTTAGGGAGGGTCTCTAGTTTCTCTAAACAGCCTCCAAAGAAGTTTCAGAATCTTAAGTTCAAAAAAAAGAGTTCCCATTGCCATTTTGGTAGTGATATGTAGCTTGTAGATTAATTCATATCTGTGTATAGCAAACTTATCTTTATTTTCCCCATTACTATGAGACCTGGTAAAACCAATTTTATAATTTAGAGCATCTGCAACATAAGATAACTCCATAGGAAAGACAGATTAAGATTGTAAACATAGAGACAGATAGCAAAGGATAGTTTAAATTTTGGGCTTTCATCTTCCAGGTCAAACCAGTGGTTACCAAAATACTATGTCCAGACCGGTAGGATCAGCATTGTGGGATTTGTTAGAAATGCAAATTCTCAGTCGTCATTGTCAGACCTACTAAATCAGAAACTCTGGGAATGGTATCGAAACATTTCCCTTTTATTTTGACATACCAGTAGTGTTTAAAAAACAGCAACATGGAAGTCTGGTTAGGCTTCTGGTTTTTTCCGTTTATCAATTTAATTTTTTCTTTTAACTTTGTAAGAAGAGTTTTGGATTTAAAGACAAGTTGTGAAGGTGGTACAGAGTTACATTTTCCACACCCCATTTCCCCTTTTATTACATCTTATGTTAGTATGGTAAATTTGTTAGAATCCATGCTAATATTGATACATTGGGTATTGTTACCCTAACTAAAATCCATACTTTAAATTTCCTTGGTTTTTGCCTAATACCTTTTTTCTGTTCCAGGATCCCATCCAGGATACCTCATTACATTTAGTCAAGTCTCCTCTCCTCAGGCTCTTCTTGATTTTGACAGTTTTGAGGAGGTACTGGTCAGGTATTTTGTAGAATTACCATCAACTGGGATTTATCTGATGTTTTTACTGTTAAAGGTTTTGAGAAATAATCACAGATGTGAAGTTCCATTGTCATTGGTAGTATCAAGGGTCCATACTGTTAACATGACTTACTTTGAACACCTGGCTAATGTAGTGTTTGTCAGTTTTTTTAACTGTGAAGTTATTCATTTACCTCTTTATCCTTATTTAGAAGGATGTCAGTATGTGTAGCCCACACTCAAAAAGGAATGGGAAGGTACGTTCCACCTCTTGAGCTGTACATTTACATAAATAACAATTTTTGTGCATGGGAGTTATTAGAATAACTCTTCTAATTAATTCATTTAGTCATGTATCTAGTCAATATGGACTCATAACTTTGTTATAATCCAGTATTTATTTTGTTTCTCAAGTTGTTCCAACTTTGATTATTGTGGACTTTTCAGTTGGCTTTGTTCCTTTGTTGTAGCCCTGTGCTGTCACTGTTGGTTTGTTTCTGTTGTTGTTTGTCACTGCTTACTTTCTGGGCACTTCAGGATGCTCCAGTCGGCCATTTCTCCAAGGAGCCCTGGTTCTTTTCATAGGAGAATGGTATTAGAAACCAGGATCTGGATGTTCGGTGTACTCACTGCTACTGCGGTGTCTGTGCTTCTAGGCACAGTTTGCCGATAGGAAGGAAATACATGTGTATGTATTAACTGGTCTGTATGTATATCTATAAATATTTCTTAAGTAACCATTTTTATCTATATTAAGCTAAACATGAGTTCATACTTAAGTCTCCACTACTACTATATTGCCACATAGCTATTTCTAGCTTCCTTCCCTTGCGTATCAGCAACTTCCCACTCCTACAGTGAAAACCTGGCTTCTACCATCTGCTATCCATTTACTTAATTGTTCAGTTTCAGCATACAGAATTTGTAGCAGTATCAGAATTATTAACTTAATCTATGGGACACATCAACTAGAGTACAGTGCTTATGTAATTTTTATTTTTTGCCTTTATTCTTGCTCTAGAATGACTCCTACAGACTCAGAGTTACTTGAGTACCTTTCCCCCTTCCTCTTTGATTAAGGTTGTTTCATGTATTTGTAATAAGGCTTTATTTTATTATAGATAAATTTGATAGGTGTATCTGGAAGTTGTTTAATGAAAAGACTGGTTAGGATGAGGGCATGAAACACAACAGCAGTAGGAAGAGTAGGGATAAATAAGAGATTTAGGATCTTGAAGTGATAGGAATTAGGGACTAGAGAGTGAAACTTTTAGGAGAACCCCCAGGTTTGGGAACACAGGGAGAGCCCTAAACAAGATAAGGAATATAGAAAAAGGCTTTGGAGGAAGTGATTTTCACAGAGGACTGCTGAGTCCAAGGAATCATAATATCCAGGTGAAGTAGTCCAGGCTGCAGATAAGTTCACTCCAGCTTACAGTAAATGAGGCCCTGTCTGGCCCTCAGGATTTAAAAATCATAAGTAGGCAGTAATATGTTACCATACAGCTAACTTGGACACTACAAAGTTAAGAGTGTTCTGAAGTTTTGAGGGCTTCTTGGTTTCATTCAAAAAACAGTGGCAATCCTGCCTTTGAATATGACTTAGTAGAAGTACACAGTCATTAAAGTCAGTCAGTCAAAGGATTGTTCAGGCTTAGACCACCCTGAACATGCAGTGTGCCACCTAAACCATCTGTACTGAGTCTCCTACTTGAAAGTTCTTTACCAGAAGAATGGGGAAGGGAGGCTGGGTGGACAGAAACAGTATCAATTCAGTACAGTCCCTTGATTCTGTCAGTATCATGATTAAATGATTTCATTAGGCATGACACATTCTTAAGGTGGATTAAATGTTTGGTACATCAGGCTTATTAGAGTCAATGGGGCCCTTTACAATTCTGTATGAAACTTTAAAAGCTCCCTACTAATGAAAGCTGGATTCTAATAACAGACCTGATCCCAGACTATGTAGAGGCCAGCTTGGACTGGTTTTTAACACCTCAGGGATTCCTTCCAGTCCCAGCCACCCCCTTGCCTGTAGAGCTACTTAAATTATCTGCAGGAAAAGGCTGAGTTGGAGGTGGAGGAGGTAAACAAATTTAAGGGGACAGAAAGCCAAGTCAGGGTATCAGAACTGAAAGATACTTAGGTAGCATTCTAGTCCCATTTTTCAGTCAGATAACTTACAATCTTCAGGAAAAGTATAAAAACCCAACTTTATAATTCACTTAATTAGAAGACAAATTCTGTTATGAATTTAGGTATTACAGTACAAATAATGGCATGTTCAGAGAACTCAGTTTGCTGAGCCCCCAAACTCTATTTCTATACTTAAAAAGTTAGAATTAGAAAATAATTGATAGTACTTTTTGTTGTATCTCATTTCCGTGTATAAACTTGAAAGTTTGAGGGTCAGTTGATATTTTTGAAATTCTGAGCTAAATATGAAAAATACTGATAGCCCATGTACACATATGTGAAATGAGTGTTATTTATATCCTCACAACAGAAAAACTAGTAAAATACAAAGATACACAGAGGATTCTATTTGTGAACTTTATTTCATCCCATAACTTTGTGTGCCTTTTCTGTTCAAAATCCAAACAGCCTTACTGTAGTTTTTATTATAAAAGGTGTATATGGTGATGTAAGAAATTGAAGCAATACAGAAAAACACAAAGAATAAAAGTCCACCACCCCAATGTAAGCACTTGTTGACACTGCGTTATATATGTACCTTCATCAGTTTTATCACCATTTTTTCCAACTCAACAGTAACTCAGACTTTACCATAAACATGAAAAATGCTTGTATCAATTTTGTGATCCTTTATTATTAAATTATAAATTAATCCATCATTAATGAGTAATTTGTTACTTTTTTACTATGGTAAAAAATGTTGCAGTAAACACTTTTCACATTTATTGGCACTTGGTTGCCAAGTTTTTCTAGAAAAATTTTTATTTCTGGATTAAAGTATTACACTTAAATTACATTTCACATAATTTTTTTTACTACAAAGGACTAAATTACTGCATTACAATAGGAACTTTTATGGCTTATTTGAATATGATTGTAAAAGCCGGTAATAAAACAGGCAGTATACAGTGACTAGCAAATATTTTTATTATTTCCCTAATGAAAAAGAATATGTTGCTCAGGATGTGGACCAAAGAATGGAATGAAAGGGGAACAATGATTAACAGTTTAATTCAACTGATCTCAAATGCTTAGAGAATAAAAGCCTAGTTTTTTGAGGGATACTATTGGATTTTTTTTTTTTTTATCTTGGAGTCATAGGTACATGGGGAGTCTATTGTATGATCTATGTTTGTTAGTGAAATGTAATGAGCACTTGAGGTGCCATGCTGGGTGCTAAGTCCTCTTAAACTAGGCACCATCCCTCTTCTAGAAGTGTCTTATATGTTCATATGTGTATATACACATATATGACATAAAAGTAAATTTAAAATGTACATGTTAATTTGATATATACTGATTGCCATTGTAGCAATAATTAGCACCACTCTTACATCACATAACCTTTTTGGTGGTTGTAATAATTTAGTCTCTTAGCAAGTTTGATGATTATAATACAATATTGTTATCTATATTCACTGTGAAGTGCATTATATTTCTAGAGCTTATTAACTACTACTTATAAATCTGTATATGTCTTATCCCCAAAACCCCCCTCCTTGTTTAACCACCATTTTACTCTGTTTCTACAAGCATGGCTTTGTAAAATTACACATATTAAGTGATAATATAGTATGTGTCCTTGACTTACCTCACTTAGTGTAATGTGCTCAAGGTCCATACATGTCATTAATGGTGCAGGATGTTCTTTCTCATGGCTGAATATTCTCCATTATTTGTATGTACCACCCTATCTTTATAAGTTCATCTAACAATGAACACAAGTTGTTTCTGTATCTTGGTTATTGTAAATAATGCTGCAATGGATATGGAGGTGCAAATATCTTGTCCAGTTAGTGTTTTTGGTTTCTTTGGATAAATACCCCGAAATGAAATTAATGGATGATATATGGTAGTTCCATTTTTAATTTCTCAGGAACCTCCATACTGACTGTTTCCATAGTGGCTGCACCAATTTACATTCCCAACAGTGCACAAGAGTTCTCTTTTCTCCACATCCTTACTAGCACGCACTATCATTCGTCTTTTTGCTAGCCATTCTAAAATGTTTGAGGTGATTTCTCATTGTGATTTTCATCTTCATTTCCCTGATGATTAGTGATATTGAGCATCTTATAATGTACCTCTTAGCCATTTGCTGTTTCGTTTTTTTGTGTGTTTTTTTGGAAAATGTCTAGTTCTTCGGCTCATTTTAAAATGTTTTGTTACTGAGTTGTATGAGTTGAAGTATTCTGGATATTAACCCCTATTCATTGTTAGCAAAAATTTCCTCCCATCCTGTTGAATTTTAATTTTGTTGTTGCTTTTGCTATGCCAAAGTTTTTAAGTTTGATATAGTATCCTTTGTTGATCTTTGCTTTTGTTGTTTGTACTTTGGTGTCACACCCAAAAAATCAAGCCCAGACCAGTTCCTTGTCAAGGAGCTTCTTCCTACATTTTCTCTAAGAGTTTTATAGTATCAGTTCTTATGTTTAAATCTTTGATGCATTTTGAGTTAATTTTTGTGGGTGGTGAAGATATGAGTCCAATTTCATTGCTCTGCTTGTGTTATATCAGTTCCCCAGGACCATTTATTGAAGAGACTTTTCCGTTGAGTGTTCTTGGCTTCCTTGTTAAATATTAGTTGACCATATAAGCAGGGGGTTAATTCTGGGCTCTCTCTTTCATTCCACTTGTGTATATGTGTGTTTTTGTGCTAGTACATGCAGTTTTTATTACTGCAGCTTCATAGTATAGTTTGAAATGAGGAAGTGTAATACCTCCAGTTTTGTTCTTTTTCCTCAGGATTGCTTTAGCTACTGCAGGTCTTTTGTGGCTCCATACAAATTTTAGGATTGTTTTTCTGTTTCTGTGAAAAATTCCATTAGTATTTTGATAGTGATGGCATTGAATCTGTAGATAGCATTGTGTAGTATGGACATTTTAACAGTATTAATTCTCCTGATCCTGGAACACAAGATCTCTTTCCATTTGTGTTTTTGGTTTTTTTGAGCAAAGTCTTAACAGTTTTCATTGGCCAGATCTTTCACTTCCTTTGTTAAATTTATTCCTAAGTGTTTTTTGTATGTATAATTCTATTGTGAGTGGGATAGTTTTCTTTCTTTTTCAGATGTTTCATCTTTAGTGTATAGAAATGTAACTGATTTCTGTGTTTTTGTATCCTGCAACTTCACTGAAATCATGAGTTATTTCCAATGGTTTTTTGTTTTGCAGTTCTTAACATAGAAAATCATTTCTGCAAATAGTTAAGTTTTACTTCTCCCTTTCCAAATCAGTGCCATTTTTCTTTGTCTTGCCTAATTGCTGTGCCTAGTACTTACAGTATTATATTGAACAATGAAAGTGAGCATCCTTGTCTTCTTCCTGATAGAGGAAAAGCTTTCAGTTTTTCTCCATTGAGTAGTATGTAAGGTTTGTCATACATAGATGGCCTGTGTTGAGATATATTCCTTCTATAACCAGTCTACTGAGGGTTTATCATGAAAGGCTTTTGTATTTTGTCAATGTTTTTTTTCTGCATCTATTGAGATGATTATGTGCTTTTTATATTTTTTAATGTAATGTATTACATTTATTGACTTGCATATGTTGAGCCATCCTTGTGTCCCAGGGGTAAATCCCATTCATTCATGGTGCATAATCTTTTTTATATGTTCTTGAATTTGGTTTGCCAATTTTGTTGGGAATTTTTGTACCTATATTCATCAGGAGTATTGGTCTAGAGTTTTCTAATGATGTCTTTAATGAGTTTGGATGTATTCCCTCCTCAATTTTTTGGAAGAGCTTGAGATGGACTGGTGTTAATTCTTTGAAAGTTTGATAGAATCTACCAGTGAAACCATCTGGTCCTGTGGTTTTGAGTTAGAAGTCTTGATTACTGATTCAGCCTCTTTGCTCATTATTATTTCTGTTGAGATTTTCTATTGCTTTATTCTGTCTTGGTAGGTTGTATTTCTAGAGATTTATCTATTTCTTCTAGGATGTCTAATTTGTTGGCATAATTGTTCATAATAGTGTCGTATGATCCTGTGTGTTCCTGTAGTATCAGTTGTAGTGCCTACATTTTCATTTCTAATTTTGAGAACTCTTTTATTCTTAGCCTGGCTATCAGTTTTGTTGATCTGTTAGTTTCATTGACCTCTCTATTTTCTGGTCACTATTTCATTTATTTCTGCTCTGATCTTTATTATAATTTCCTTCCTTCTGCTAGTTATGGACTTAATTTGTTTTTTCTCTAGTTCCTTGAAGTGTAAACTTCGGTTGTTTATTTGAGATCTGATTTCTAAATTTGTCACTAAATTTTCAGAACAGCTTCTGCATCTCATAAAATTTGATATGCCATGTTTCCATTTTCACTTAAGATTTTTCATTTCCCTTTTGAATTTTGTTTGACCCGTTCATAAATGTATTTCCACATATTTGTAATTTTTCAACTGTTTTTAGTTTTATATTATATTCAGAAAAAAGTTATGATTTCGATCTTAAAAGTGCTGAAATCTGTTTTGTGACCTATCATGGTCTACCCTTTAAGTGTTGCACATGCACTCAAGAATGCTTATTTTGCTGCTCTTGGATGGAATGTTCTATTTACATTTGTTAGTAAGTCCATTTGTTCTAGACTATGGTTTAATTGCAGTGTTTTGTTTTCTTGTTTTCTATCTGGATGATTTATCCATTGATGACAGTGAGATATTGAAGTCCCTGCTATTAATATATTGCTGCTTATTTCTCCCTTTAAATGTGTTAGTATTTGCTTAATATATTATGGTGCTCCAATGATGAGTCCATTTATATTTATGACTTATATCTTCTTGGCCCTTTGTCTATCATTATGATTTTTGGCTTGAAGGCTATTTAGTCTGATGTGAGTATGGCTATGCCTGGTTTCTTTGTTGTTTCCACTTGTATGGAATACCCTCTTCCATTCCTTCCCTTTGAGCCTGTGTGTGTCTCTAGAACTGATGTTTGCTGTTGGCATTGTGTAGCTGTATCTTTTTTTTTAATCATCCAGCCTGTCTGCATTTTGATTGGTAAATTCAACTGTTTGTATTTTGAATGATTCTTGATAGGTAACAGCTTACTACTGCCCTCTTAACCATTTGCCGTCTGGTTGTTTGTATTTCCTTTGCTTCTTTTTCCCTGTTTCTGTATACCTTTGTAAAGTGATGGTTTCCACCATGGTGATTTGCTTAGTCTCTATATTTCATGGACTCAACTCTAGATTGCTTGTGATTACCAGGTGGCTTACAAAGAACATAAAATAATTCTAGGGAGCAAAGTTTTAAAGTTTAATACATATTCTGTGTGTTCAGCATGTGGTAGCACATCATTTAATCTATGTCCCTGATTGATCACCATGCATGCCACATAATTGCTTGTTCTAATGGCCAGATGGTGATTAAATATGACAAAAACAAAATAATTAAAAATTAAAACAATGAGTTGCAAAGGTTTTTCCATCAAACCCATATTTCCAGCCACACATGCTGTTTTAACAACCCTTGTCTGTCTTCAGGTTAGCTACCACCAGGAAGAAACGTAAGATAGATTAATGAACTTTTGTATTTTGTCACCTTCAGAAATGATATGAGTTAGAGGCAACCTAACAAATCAGGAAGTGTGATGCCTCCTCTGTTCTTTCTCAGGATTTATTTGGCTATTTGGAGTCTTGTGGTTCCATATAAATTTTAGGAGTGTTTTTTCTACTGAAGAAAATGTCATTAGACTCTTGATAGGGATTGCATTGAATCTATTGGTATTTTTTGATGTTAACATTTTTTCCGGTCCATGAACACAGGATACCTTTCTATTTGTCATCTTCAATTTCCTTTATTAATTTCCTGTATTTTTGAGAGTAGAGATCTTTCACTTCCTTAAATTTTTTCCTAAGAAGTATTTCATTATTTGCAATGCTATTATAAATGGGATCAGTCATTTCTCAGAAAATTCACTGTTAATGTATAAAAACACTATGGATGGATTTTTGAATGTTAATTTTGTATCCTTTGACTTTACTCAATTCATTGATTAGTTCTAACAGTTTTCATAGTTGAGTCTCTAATTTTCTATATAAAAAACCATGTTATCTGGACACAGAGACAATATGACTTCCTCCTTTCCAGTTCTGATATCTTTTCTTTTTCCTTCCTGGTTGCTCTGGCTAGGACTTCTAGTACTGTGGTGTTGAATAGGAGTGCTGAGAGAGAGAGTTACTTCATTTTTATTGCTGAGTAGTAGTATATTGTGGACATACCACAATTTATCCATTCATCCATTTATAGACATTTGGGTTGTTTCCACTTTAAGCTGCTGTGAACATGACTGGTACAGTCCTTCTCTGATTACTTTTTGTTTCGCTTTAGGAATTTTGAGTCATAAAGTTAGTATATGTTTAGCTTTACAAGAAACTACCAAAGTGTCTTCCAAATAGGCTCTACCATTTTGCATTCTTACCAGCAGTGTCTGAGAGTTCAAGTTCCTTACCATATTTTATTTTAGGTTAATTTTCAGTTACTTTATCTCTTTGTGCTGCATAATTGGAGTTTTTTTATTAGAACACTTTGGTGATGAATTTTGAATTTTTAGAGTAAAAAAACCTCTGCAGATGAACAAGGTAGAAGTCTAAAATAAAAACTTGACATGAAAAGCAGGATTTTAGATACTTTGGCTTCATGAGTTATCAAACACAAATATGGATTTTATCCTCAGCCTCTCAGTAATACTTTTAATGATTAGCCACTCATCTGAGACCTTAAAACACTTCTTTCAGGGTCCCTGCTGCTGCTTGAATTGTAAAGGCTGCAACAGAAATGTGTTTCCTTACTTCTTCCCAGGCTGAATGAGGGTCTGCTTTATTGCCAATGTCAAACATAGCATCGTAGATCCCAGGAAATGATTCTCCAGCATATTTATTGTGGCTGCTTGGAGCAAAGATGATATGCCTAGTAGAAAAATACATAAACAAGACAGGTGGAGCTAAAGAGTAACATACTATTACGTTTTATATACTTTTTCTTTCTTCTTTTTTGTTTTACAATATCTCATCAAGTGTCCTATGTCTCCTTCTGTCATTTTTGTTACTCCAAAATGAAGACATACATAATTGATGAGGTACTATATATATAATGGCATAATTTTAAGCAAAGAGAGAAATTGACTATGCATTCATTACATGTCTTATGAGTCATATCGTGTTGCCAATCTACACAGTGGGGAGAAAGGTAAGTTCTTTCTTGTAAATTGTGTGCATTACTTGTCAAACTGCCTGGACATAGATAAACAGTGATAATGTGTATGCTTTGTGACCATATTTAAAAAGAGAGGAGATTGATAAAATTTGTGTTGCCTTTTTTAGAGATTCAACAAGAATGACAGTTGTTACCAATACTCTTCAAACATTAAAAAGAATAATTAAGGAAGCTTGTATTCCCCAAAATACTATAGATGTTAAGAATAATTTCAAAGTCACAATTTCTGATCTAGAAGGAAAGCTCACACAACCAAGCTACTTCTCTCTCCAGTTAACTGGAATTCTTTCAGAAAAGATACATAGTTTATTAAACACTTATCATAAATTAGGTCCAACAGTCCAATCCTAGAGCTTCTAGATATAATTTATAGGAGACAATATGGAACTCTATGTAAGTCAATATTAATGATCAACCAGAAATTTATAATGCTAATCATTTAGATTATAATTGTAGAATCATTTCCCAAAGTACATCAGGATTTATTGCTCTTGGCTTTTAAATCTTAACAGAATCTCAAATAGATCTTTCTTATTAAAACAAGTATAGGTGCTAAGTTGTTTATAAGTATTGATAATCTAACATATGAGTTATTAGAGATATGGGTCTTAGGTATTCCTTAGTATAGTTGCTCTCTTCTGAAGAACTGTACAAGTATAGTAAAAAAATACTGATAAAGGATTCATACCTGTTTGAATCACTGACATGACATCTAATGCCTCTGTGGCCTTTTATAAATTACCTGACTTCTGTAAATGTGTCCCATAAATTTAAAAGAACTGCAATATATAATCTCTGCACAGAGTTATGACTAAGTGGCTTATGGAATCAGAGTGCTTGTGTTTTATAATCAGCACACTATCATATTTATAACAGCACAGTGGTTTTCATTTATGTGGAATGTCATTTTCCATTCCTTCACGTTCAGTCTGTGTCCTTATATCTGAAGTGACTCTTGTAGGCAGCCTATAGATGGATCTTGTGTTTCTTAAATCCATTCATCCCTTCTATGTCTTTTTATTGGAAAATTTAGTTCATTTACATTTAAGGTGATTATTGATAGGTATGTACTTATTGCCATTTTTTGTTAATTGTTTTCTGGCTGTTTTGTAGTTCCCCTGTTCCTTTCTTCTCTTCATTTGTAGTTTGATGACTCTTTAGTGGCATGCTTAGACTCCTTTCTCATTATCTTTGGTGTGTCTACTATAGATTTTTATTTTATGGCTACCATGAGGCTTACATGTAACAACTTACATTTACAAAAGTCTATATTAAGTTGTTAAGTGTGAATGCATTCTAAAGCTCTACGTTTTTACTCTCCCCATTCTGTTTTCCATGTCAACGTTTTACTACTATTGTGTATCCCTTAATTATAGTATTTTTAGTGCTTTTGTTTATACTGGTATTATAAGTGGTTAATCTACTACTTTACTGTATATTACCAGTATAACTGAGATTTTTACTTGGATGCATTACCATGTTTTCAGCTTTTTTCAGCTTAAAGAAGTCCCTTTAACATTTCTTAAAAGGTTGGTTTAGTGGTGATTAACTCCTTTACCCTTTGGTTGTCTGGAAAATTATTGCTCTGTCAATTCTGAATGATAACTTTGTTGGATACAGTATCTGTGGCTGGAAGGTTGGTTTTTTGTTTTTTTGATTTTCTCAGCCCTTTGACCATTACCATGCCACTCCCTTCTGGCCTGTAGAGTTTCTGCTGAAATCCGCTGCCAGTCTTATGGACGTTCCCTTTATGTAATGAGTGGTTCTTCTCTTGTGGCTGTTAAGATGCTCTCCTTTAATGTGACATTTTCTTTGGGTTCATCTTATTTAGAATTGTCTGTGCTTCCTGGATCTGGAGGTTTATTTTCTCTGGTTAGGAATGCTGTCAGCCCCTTTCTCCACTCCTTCTGGGAGCCCAGTAATTCAAAGGTAGAGTACATTTGGTGTCTTCCCAGAGGTCCCTTAAGCTATTTTCCCTTTTTTTTATTCTTTTCTTTTTGCTGCTCTAATTGAGCTCCACTGCAAGGTCTCTAGATCGCTGATCCTTCTTGGGATTTATGTAGTCTGTTGTTGACTCCTCTAGTGTATTTTTTGGTTCGGGTATTGTATTCTTCAGCTCAGTGACTTCTATTTGGTACTTACATTTTCTTTCTCTCTGTTGAAGTTCTCACTGTGTTCATTCTCCCAGCTTCATTATCATTATTTTAAACTTATTGTCAAGTAAATGACTTATGTTTCACAGTAAGGTTTTTACCTGAGGTTTGATTTTATTATCTCATTTGGAACATGTTCTTGTTACTTCATTTTGCTGTACTCTCTGGATTGGTTTATATGCATTAAAAGAAAAATCCACCTCTCCAGTCTTGAAGGAGTGGCTTCCTGTAGCAGATAATCATCCAGCCTTGCCCTGGCTTGTGGTTGCCTCTCAAACCTTTGTCATTGTCCCAGTAGCTGAGGGTGTGCCAGTACCTAGCAGTGTATCAAAGACAGAGATTATCCCTGTCAGCAGACATTCAGATTCAGGCTGATTGGAAGCCCAGACCCTCAGAGCAGCTTTTAAAGTATCAAATATGTTCTGTCTTATGGGACCACAAGCCGAAGCCCTTGTGCCTACACACAGCTACAGCAAGGCAGAGGGGGAACAAAGATGGTGTTCCCCAGCCTACGGCCCTCGAGCCTACTCCTCATGCTGAAGCTCCAGGACAAGCAAATACATCTCTCATACAAAGACTGGGAGAATGGAGGGGTGGGAGCTGCCACTGTGTCTCAGATGTTATAATCCCAGGGGACCCAAGAACACAAGCCCCTCTGGCCACCAGAACCAGGTGATCAAGGGGACATCCCCGTGTGGCAGCTGCAAAACCAGGGCAGCAGACGTGTGAGCACTCCCCTCCACGGTCTCTGGCAAGGTCTACAGTTAGCCTTTAGATGTGTGTTTAATTAGAAGTCACGCTCTTAAGACTGTAAACATGATGAGAGTCCTCGAGGCCTCTTTCACTGGAAGGCAGAAGCTCCTACACCTGTCACCTCCTCCTGTGCCCTGAGAGTGACAGCTTTTTAAAAACTTTCTCCATTGTTTAAAGTCCTCTGGGACTGGACAGCATTAAGTCCCTCTGAACAGCAGAGCCAGGCAGTGTAGCAGCATCCCTTGGCAGAGCTGCAAAAATGAGGGCATGAGGCAAAGATACAAGCTTTTTAGGAGATATTGTCAAGCTGGTGCAAGGCAGAGAGAGTGCGCAAAGTCTGTTTTCCCCCTACAGGGCAACTCTGTAGGCCCCAAAAGTGTGCCAGACCAGAAGCCTGCCTCTAAGGCCAAAGCTCCTGGACAAATAGGCCTCTTTCTCTGAAAGACTGGGAGTGTGTTGTAGGCTGCCAAGAGCTGTACTGTTGTTACAGTACCATGGGACCCAGGATTGCAAGCCTCTGGGCCCCAGAGCCAAGTGATCAAGGAGTGTCCCCTGGGCAGTAACTGTAAAAATTGGGGTACCAGATGCAAGTAAAAGCTCGTCTCCAGGAGAAACTGGCACTTCGGTGCTCACAGAGGGAGAGCATGAAGCTAGTGCCTTCCAACTTGAGCAGAGCAAAGCATGACAGGGTGTCCATCAGCCTTTGTCCTATGGAGTATCCCAGCATGCTCCTGCAGCTAATGCTTTCAGATTAGAAAGTGAATCTTTTTCACACAAAACCTGGACACTTTTCAAAAGGCATTTCAGAAGTGGTGTGCCCATGGCGAGAAGGTCCATGCAAACTCTTTAATAGCTATTTCTCAGTTTGGGTTTCGTTGACACAAGCCACATTGGTTTTCAAAGCCAGACATTTTAGGGGCTAACCATCTCACTTGTAGGTCTTAAAAGCTGGGATGCTCGATGAGGTATGTACCCTGTGCTCCTTAGAAATTCTAGGTTTGTGAATTCTCTCCCAATTGTGGGCAATATAGCAGGAGCGGAAGTTAGTGGTGAGATTAGGTCTCAGCTTCCCACCTGCTTCAATGTGGTCTTTTTCTCGTTTGCCAGATATAAAGGAGCTGCTCAGTTTTCAGGTCTTTGTAAAGATAAATCATTCCGTACGTAGCTGTAGGTTCAGTGTGTCTGGAAGGAGGTGAGTGCAGGATCTTCCTATATTGCCGCCTTGAACTTCCTCTCCCAGCCTTTAGAATATAGTATTACTCAAGTTAATAGTCCCAAATATGTTTTTAAAGTAGTGCAGTCTTTTTGGAGGACCATTTGGCAGTTAAATTTTAAATGTGTGTACCCTTTGACCCTGAAATCCCATTTACTGATTATAGAGATAGTAAAACAAATTTTCAAACAGGACACAGGAACATCCTATGGAAGGACTTTCCACAGTGAATAATTGGGGAGAAAACAGATCCAATTAAAAGTTCAATAAGGACTAAATTATGTAAGCCATACAGTGGAACACTATGCAACTGATGAGCTAAAACTATATAAACTGATACAGAAAGATCTCCAAGATAAATTTATAAAGAAAAAAAGCAAGTTACAAAATAATATATGGTCCCATACAGTTATATGTGTATAGATTAATAAATGTATGTAGATGTGTACACAAATGCATTAAAAATTTCACATCAAATTTAACCTT